GGCAACACTGAGGGTTGCGATCCATTGCCGGACACGGAAAAAGACAAAAAAAAAAAAATAAACATTACTGCCTTTTCCTTGTCTTTTTCTTTTTGCCCTGGATTGGTGATGGATGTATCATCACAGGTAGATAATAGTTCATGGACTAACATTTGGAATCACTGTCTTGTTCATCCCAGACATCTTTGGCTTTTAAAAGCCAACTATGAGAAACAGGCCCTGCTAATGTATAATCCTAACATTAGACAAACTGTTCTCCTGTATTTTATTACATACAACCATTTTAGGATTCTGTGAAAATGGCAAACTTGCTATAGTATCTTTCTAATCATGGTAACTATATTCTACCTCCCTGTGACCATGGCTATTGTATTCCTGCTAGAGGAAGAGCTGTGTTGGATAATGGCTTTTTTAAAGTTGTGGCTAAAGCATACCAATAGACTTGAGATTAAGATAAGCTACTTTTTTACTAGCCTTCCTTTGTAAGATTTATTTCTAATGAAAAGGAGCTTAATCTATAGTGAACTGTCCCAAGCGAAGACTTCTTTTTTGTTTTTTGTTGATACCAAAGTATCAATGTAAACTTTACTTTGTGTTCTTGTTTTCTTTTTCCTTCAGCCCCCAACATCCTTCCTGCCTATTCTTCCAATATAATACACAGCTGGGCCCACCTTACCACATCCTGGTTGNTATATTTTCAGAATAAAGGTCATTCCTCTTATTTATTTTCTATTTTTATTTTTGGCAGCTGACCAATATAGGGAAAGTCATTCCTTTTAAATAAATAAACTTAATTTTATAAACATTACTGCCTTTTCTTTGTTTTTTTCATTTTGCCCTGGATTGGTGATGGATGTATCATCACAGGTAGATAGTAGTTCATGGACTAACATTTGGAATCACTGTCTTGTTCATCCCAGACATCTTTGGCTTTTAGATGAGAAACAGGCCCTGCTAATGTATAATCCTAACATTAGACAAACTGTTCTCCTGTATTTNCCTATATAGGATCCAAACCCGTGGCCTCAGTGTTATCAGCACTGTACTCTCCCGAGTGAGCCATGGGCCGGCCCAAAAATTTCACATTTTCTAACAGCAAGGTCATGAGTTCAGATACCCATAGGGCCAGCGGGGGGGAAAAAAAATTTCAAGTTTTCCTTTAAAACTAAAAGAGACATCCTAAAACCATAGAATTCTTAGGAACCCAGGCTTTCCCTGAGCTGGTTTGCTCAGTCATTTGTTTGTTAGTCTGACACACTATGCAAATGAAAGTGGTATTGTTGAGTATATACCAATTCCAGTGGTTTGAAGGTTTTTGGATTTCATGGAGCAGTAAAATTTCCCCTAAAATCCTGGGGATATAATTTAGAATTATTCTTTTCTTTGCCAAGAATCTTTTAAAAGAAATAATTGCCATTGTTTAACACAGTAGCATTTCATAAGAAAGATACTGTATCACCAAAAAAATAGTAAGGATATATTTTCAGAATAAAGGTCATTCCTCTTATTTATTTTCTATTTTTATTTTTGGCAGCTGGCGAATATAGGGAAAGTCATTCCTTTTAAATAAATAAACTTAATTTTATAAACATTACTGCTGGGCCGGCCCGGTGGCACACTGGATAGTGCACCGCTTGGGAAGCGTGGCGGCGCTCCCGCC